ATAACGAAGGATAGCGAAGTATAGTGAAGTGTGAAGGATAGCGAAGGATAGCGAAGGATGGCGAAGTAGAGTGAAGTTTGAATGATAGCGAAGGATAGCGAAGTATAGTGAAGTGTGCAGGATAGCGGAGGATAGTGAGGGATAGCGAAGTATAGTGAAGTGTGAAGGATAGCGAAGGATAGTGAAGGATAGCGAAGCATAGTGAAGTGTGATGAATAGTGAAGGATAAATCCCCATTAAAACACAAGGGAGGTAATAGCAAATGAATTAAGCTCTAAGGCTTAACAAATATTTTCGATTCTGTTCGCAATTTCTGCCATTCATCGAACAACTACAGCGATGAATGGCTACTGTTAAATTATTGTAATTTTCGTCATGCGGCTGAAGACTTACGCTATCCTAGGGATATCGTTCGTGACAATAATGTTATTGTACGTCCAGAACAAATACCATGTCAGGAAATCGACTCAATTAAACTAAATTCCTGATGTGGCGGTAAACCATTTTTTCGGTTATTTATTAATTCAAGTAGACAAACATGCAATAAATTGTACGGCATTTGCCGTGGTTGAAAAAATATCAACATAACTTCACAAAATATCTTATAAATGAAAAAACTAATTCTATCATCAATAAAAATATAGTATTTCTCCAATGCAGCAGGAATATCTATAGAAGTGACTCGAAAGCAACGATAGTAGCAGTTCTGAAGTTGGTATAAAGTATACCTGCAGTATAAATAAAACCTGGCGTCCTTTAAACCTACATTTCATAGATATAGTACACAAAAATTGTATGAGCATATAGGGAAATAAGTGTTGTTCATGACGCTTGATTTATTTTCGGCAAACGTGTATAATGAATGCATTTTCTTGTGAAGCTATTTAGTGAATTAACAGGGCCAATTACGTTCACCAAATGTAATTTGTACTTGGCAAATTCCTATTGAAGATAATAAAAAGACATAATAACTAAAATAGAGTTTGAATATTTCCCCATGAAAAATAAATGTTTCTAGCTAAGTTTAAGAGTAATATAACGTTTGAAATGTAACTTAATTGATAGAAGCATAACGGTTGTTGTAACCGTAAGATTAAAATAATGTACGGTTACAATAATGCACGTTACAAAATATAACGGTTGTTGTAACAGTAAGATTACAATAATGTACGGTTACAATAATTGCACGTTACAAAATATAACGGTTGTTGTAACCGTAAGATTACAATAATGTACGGTTACAAAAAATAATGGTTGTTGTAACCGTAAGATTAAAATAATGTACGGTTACAATAATGCACGTTACAAAATATAACGGTTGTTGTAACCGTAAGATTACAATAATATACGGTTACAAAATGTAACGGTTGTTGTAACCGTAAGATTACAATAATGCACGGTTACAATTATGTACGGTTACAAAAAATAACGGTTGTTGTAACCGTAAGATTAAAATAATGTACGGTTACAATAATGCACGTTACAAAATATAACGGTTGCTGTAACAGTAAGACTACAATAATGTACGGTTACAATAATTGCACGTTACAAAATACGACACGCGTGACGACATTACACGTAACGAACGTGAGTACAGCCCTGCCTTTCCCCTATACACTTAGAAAATTTAGTGGGTCATATTGTCCAAATAGTGATACACTTCCTAGATAGTAGCATTAATAGTACGTCCTTTGTAAGTCAAAAAGGCGCTCCTAGATAGTAGCATTAATACGTTATTAATTTGTAAATCAAAAAGGCGCCTCACAAAAGAACGACACACATAGCCATGATTTTCGGTGGCCCACACATGGGCAAGAAGTGGATCGCTTTTTGGACACATTGTCTCTCAGTTTACTGAGTGTACAGACTGAGGCTCACGTAATCCAAGCCAAATCAAGTCACATAATTTGGTGCGGACTGTGGAATTACGCGCTACTTCATACGAGAAGAAACATAAATATCATAAAATATATTAAAAACTTAATTCCAGTGGGTAGTCAAGTCCCAACAATTTGCTCCATTCCAAAATCGAGTATATATTTACGAGGATAAACTATTATTCCAGGTACAATTTCGAACTTATTATTACAAACCATTTTTATTTCTTTCGGACGTCAATCAAACAACAACGGCCCGCAGACCTGAAACCAATTCGTTTTATATATTTTGGCGCACGCACCGAATCGAAATTCGATATAATTTTTAGAAGAAACTAATTTCGTGAATGATCCGGGAATGTTTACTTTCACAATTGAGTGAATCACGATCGGCGCATCGCATTTCTCCTTCAATTTAATTCACGGAGGCAATTTAAACGTCGTGCAAATATTGCGTCACAGTCTCCACTTCTCACATTTTTTTAAATAGTAGTAATATAATATTATATTGCTTAATATTGGTATTGCATAATATAACTTCTATATGAGAATAAATAAACAAAAAAAGACAATAATATAAAGACAAGCAGTTGCTGCAAAAAATATCAAGTCATCGCAGTTCTACACTTGCAGAAAGTCGTCACGCCCAATTTAAACAGGCCACAACAAAAACCCAGAATGTTAGAGGACAAATCAAGGAGCAAAACTTTACTTACTCCGCCCAAGTTTTTTTACAGTGTTTGCCCAGCGTGTTGGGAGGCGCTGAAATTGTTCCCGGCATTACTCGAACAGTTCTTACTCGAACAGTTCTTAATCGAATACATCTTACTCGAACAGTTCTTACGCGAACAGTTCTTACGCGAATAGTTTTTACTCAATTCTTATTAAGTTTCTAAACGAGTTGCTTTTACAGAAAATTTCTAATACAAGTAGTTGGTAGGTGCATTAAGCTACTCGGATGAAGTATTAATAAATATAATGTTATGTACTATTATAAAAAATTAATCAGTAAGCGGAAATCTATCGAGAGCGATTCGTTATATTTCACGAGGATAAAATTCCACAATTTAATCGGCTCATGAACTAGTTTTTATTACCTGGAAAACACAAGTTTTCTTCAGTAGCTGATCTTCTTACTACAATAATTGCTAAATATTCAGAGCGTAAAGAGCTTTTAGATATTCTAATGCACGAGTTCCTTTTAATCAGCTCTTAATGAAAATTTAATTAAGACATAACGGATCTTTTCTTCTTCAGTTTCCTAGAATATAACATCTGCAATCTGGAAATGTGATTATTTTTAATGGCACTCACGGGACAATTTTAGAGTACTTTTAATCTCTAGTTACAGCGTACGAATCTTACGATACTTGGATCTACTTAATAATAATATAAATATATGGAGACATGAGTGAAGCTAGTGATGAAGAGGGCGAGGGAAGCGAGTGATGAAGAGGGCGAGTGACAAGAGTCCAAACTGGGTCAGGACGACTCACACAAGAGCAGAAAACGCATAGCTATTAGTACAAAGTCTTAATATTTTCCCCAGTGATCCCCACACTCTTACATTAACGGCACAAGACGGAAGCCGTGCAATCAAAATCCGGTCCCGCCGCTCCCGATCCGCGACCTCGATTGACGTACACACAAAAAACCAAGTACCGCTTATTTTCCACGGCTAAATTTACACGGCGAGGTTTTTTGTCCTTGTCAGTTTAGGCCACAATGAAGGACCGCAGGATTTAAGGACACTTGTCCTCAGAGGACGTGAACTGCACGCTGAGAATATTTGCACTCAAAAAAATTACGAGGATTTGTCCAAATAGCGATGAACTTCTGGCCCTGGTGTGGTCCATCTTAATCTTGTTTTGAGCGGCAAAAGATCACAGCTTCGCACTAAAAGTTTCACTATTTGGATAAAATGACCCGCTTATTTTTATGAGAGTATTTTATGATTGATTTTTTCCCCCCGTTCTGGGAATTTTCAGAGCAAAGCTGCACCCTGGACTCAGGATCAGAGCAAAGCTGCACCCTGGACTCAGGATCAGAGCAGCTATTTATCTCCATGTCTCTTAATATAAACGATGCGACGGACATGTTTTATTTCTCTCGCTTGTGAGCTCAAGAACGCGAAGCAGTGCAACGACGCGGGAACATTACCAGTTCAAAATATTCAATAATAATATTTTATTTATTGTTATAATGATATTTTTATTCCATAATAACTGTAGCATATCATATAATTTATTGCACAGCTATAGGATTATAATTTTCATTCCAAGCCAGCAGTATGATGCATGATTAATGATGGATTATCGAGTTATCAGTTATACTGATAATGAGTATTGATGAGTGAAACCATGAATGTAGGCTCGATTTAATTAAAATGACGAGAAATTTGTATTATTTATAATAGAAAAAAAGATGAATATTTGGGTAGAATTGTTCAGAAAGTAAATGGGCAGATAAATATTTAAATCTTGGACTTGAGAAGCTTCGTTATCTTTGACACGTTAAAATTGTAACAATGACCAACATATAGGCCAGAATACAGTGCGCGTTAAATGGAAGTCAAACTCAAGTAAAGTCTAAATTTACAATAAAAAAATGCGAAACGGAAAACTAATGAGCTATTTTTTCATTTTCATATACACTGTTAGAAAAATTACCGTTAACGGTATTATACCGGCGTTTCAGTGGCCGGTCAGCACGTGAAAGAAACACTGTGTCGCCGTTTTTATTCTAATTTAACACTAGAAATCCGTAAAACATATGATAAAAACGGCGAAACAGTTTATTTTCACGGGGCGACCGGCCACTAGAACGCCAGTGGGACCGTTTTTTCACCGTTTTTTCTAACAGTGTATAGACTGGTAAGACTGCACATCGTAAATACAATAGGTATATTACAGTATTGACAGTATTGTAAAAGCAGTAAATACAGTATATTACGGTATTGTAAAACAGTAAATACAGTATATTACGGTATTGTAAAACAGTAAATACAATATATTACAGTATTGTATAAACAGTAAATACAGTATATTACAGTATTGTATAACAATAAATTCAGTATATTACAGTATTGTATAAACAGTAAATTCAGTATATTGCATAACTTACGTTGCTTCTGGTCACTGAAGGCGATCTTCTCGCTGTACCAGCAAACAGCCACCGAAAGATTTTCTTCGATTGCCTCTGTAGAAAAAAATGAAGCAGCTGAAATTATTATATATACTGTACTTGAAAATAAAACTGTTTCATGCAACGACAAAAATAAATACACTCTAGAAGAATTCTATTTTGTTTGTGCAACCTGAAAAGAAAAGTGTTTTATGCTACGAAAACAGGGGTTAGCAACTAGAAAAGGTATATATATCTTGTAAATGTTACATACAAATATTTTTTTTTCGTGCTTCAAAAAAGATCTACCAACTGAAATTATTACCTATTGCAATTTCAACACAAAAATACATGTATATCGCGGTGCAAAAAAAATCAATGACGTTTGACATTTTTGAGCCCCAATATATGGAAGTTAGTATATTTTGATAAAGAAATTAATACAATTGCAATATTTCTATGTCCACACGTGTCTATGTCCACACGTGGCTATGTCCACACGTGTCTATGTCCACACGTGTCATGTCCACACGTGTCTATGTCCACACGTGTCTATGTCCACACGTGTCTATGTCCACACGTGTCTATGTCCACACGTGTCATGTCCACACTTGTCTATGTCCACACGTGTGTACATAACTGAGTATTAACTTCCAATGGATTAAACACTTGAAAATAAATAATTATTTTTAAATAAATATCGGACAAACTCAGGATAGAGCCAAACGTGCGTGCTTTTCAAGCGTCAACGGACGCGAACCGACGTATATTTGAATCAGTATAACTGTGAAATACACATCAACCCTCGGAATCAAATGTAAAATTTTCAATTCTTTCTTCGTGTTGCTGTTTGGTCGGGAAAATAGAATAAAATGTGCTTACAAACTAAGAACAGAAAGCACGTAGCGAACGTGACTATTCCAGACAACCTCGCTACTTGCATAGCTGAAGAAAACTTGTTTTTTTTTTGCCGTTATTTTTACATGTCAAGAAAATACGTCGGAATTTCGTATATTGGAGACACATAATCCCGAGTAACACAAAAGGTTTTTTCCGTAAATTCTAAAAAACTGAATTGAAAATCGCAAATGAAAATTAGAATTTCTTAGGATCGAAGAACAGAAAATTCGCGAGTCTCGTTTTCACAATTTCTGACCGCGAAAAACTGAAACCAGACATAAAAATATTCTTATCCTAGCCATAAATAGCTTGAAGCCGATAAAATATATGCGTTATATTAGTGATGAAGCATTTAATTTATAGATTTTTGCAGCGACACGAGTAATTAGAAATATTTTTAAATTGATGAGAGACAGAACATATAAAAAAAAATAACGCTGGACCCAAGAAAATTGTTTCACGGTTTCACAGAGTTCTGAAAAATTAGATATCAACAGATTTGAAAAATTAAATCGAATGGTATAATTTATATATCGTTGTATGAATATATAATGAATTAAAATCGTTATGTATCTAGTTCAATTATAATTTATCGTTATTTGTTTGAAAGACTCTCACATGAACGAAGGTAAAGCACGATTTTGTATTGGTAAGTTGTAGACAGAGTTGTCAACATGGATAAAGTTTTCGAAGGATATTCAGGATCTCCAGAGCAGAAATTGCAAGCAATAAGCTGCCTGGAATATTGAGACTCAGTTTCTCGAATTTTTTTAAGAATAAATAGTTTTCATTTAATTAACTAAAACGATAAATGGTTCATGATAAGTGACCTATGAGCAACAAACAGATAACTAATAATCATATTTTTAATAACTATTAATTATAATTAATATATATTTTATTCTATGCCGTAAATCATCTCCGGTAATGGCAAACTCCAGAAAGAGTCTCTTTATTAGGCAATGCGGCAGCCGGCATAACAATGGCCTGCTAATTCCATGCCTTTATTTAACGAGGCTTATAGCGAGCAGCATGCCACAGCGGCTTGCAGTCTAGCCAGGCCTATTTAAAATTTCAACAAAAATTCGTCGTCTCGATCCGCTGCCACTTTTTGTATGCGAATGTCTGGCAACGAACACTGCTTTCTGACCTTGTAAAAACAGGTTTGCAAGAAAATATATTTTTATATTACAGGTAAATACCAAGTCATTTACGATTCAAGTCTCGATAATACTTTTCACGAGTCCATTTTAACTGGAACTGACGTTGCTCGCAGGACATTTTTCCGCCTGGATACAATTTAATTTTGTGTTGAATCCTGTTACCATCAGGACTTATGAAGCCTTTAAAGGTCTTTCGGAATTTGTAGCATTTTAATTCAGCACAATGCAAATAAACACAATGCAAATAAACTTTAATGGTAGTATATGAATGCAAAAGAAAGATTAATTTTAGTGCAAAAATATATGTGTCAATCAAAGCGCACTGCAACAACATTAACAATCTCAACCTAATATAGGCCTACCTGAAGCTCGAAAAATATTAAAAATAGGTGCATCGAGGAACTTTACTACTGTGGCACGGAAACACACATCCTATAGCGTTCATATTTTTTAATACAAACCTAAGATCACATTTTTAGTACAATATTACGTATACTGAGGACATGTATAGACAAAATTTTTAATCCAATATTCCTAATACTGAGCACATATTTAGACCAAATTTTTAATCCAATATTCCTAATACTGAGGACATGTATAGACCAAGTTTTTACAAATATTTGCAAGTTCCAATTAAGGAGCGATTGCCATGATCCCTCCACCGTATTCACAGACCACCATAACGACAGAACTTTGATAAGAGATCCGTTAGAATGTATATATTATTAATAACTCAATTATCATCAACAGCTGAGTTTACACGCTTATAAATGTGAAAAATTTGCAGAGATTCCTTTTAATACTTTAATGTATATGACCCAGACCCCCGTAACTCCAGTACTTTCAATAAAGTATCAGGTAATATTGATATGTTAATTTAATAAACTAATAGGTATTATGGATATATTTTATAATTAAGTACCAGGTATTATGGATATCTTATCAATAAATCTGTTATTATTAGCAACAACAGCTGTGTTGTTTCTAAACGCGCAGCAAGATGGAGACTGTGCGGCAATTTCCTCTGAACACTAAAAAGTATTTACATGCCACAAAACCTCGAGACTTTTATTATAGTAGCAGGTATTATGAATATATGTTTTAATAAGGTACCAAGTCTAATTATATACATTATCAACCAGTCTGCCATGATTATTATGAACAGCTGTGTTGGTTAATTGTTCGAGATGGAGAGTTTGTGTGCATGGAAGAGGCGAGATCAGAGGTTAAGGCTGCCACGCGGCCTTCATGGCACGCGACGCAACTTTTAAGCTGGCGTGACAACTTTTAAACAGGCAGAGACGCCGAATCGCTGGCCAACAGTCGGCCAACGATCGGCCTACAGTTGACCAATATACGGTAAACATCTGGTTAACTTTCCGCCAACACTCAGCCAGCTTTCGGCCAACGATCAGATAGCTTTTGGCCAACGATCGGGCAATTTTCGGCCAACGATCGGCCAGTTTTCAGCCAACGATCGGGCAATTTTCGGCCAACGATCGGGCCATTTTCGGCCACCGATCGGCCAGTTTTCGGCCACCGATCGGCCAGTTTTCGGCCAACGTTCAGCCAGTTTTCGGCCAACGCTTGGCCTACAGTTGACCAATGTGCGGCAAACGTCGGATTTACTTTCGGCAAACGAGTTCAGTCAACGGTCGGTCAATGGTCTGTCATCGTTCAGTCAACGGTCGGCTAATAGTCGGCCAACTTTCAGCCGACGGTCAGTCAGTGGCCGTTCTTTCATTTTAATCAACGCACTCCCCGGCAAATACCGCAGGCATCCCAATCAGTACATCCCGCGCTAAATCTAACATTATATCCTATAACTGGCGCCGAAAAGCGTCTCTTTTCATGAACAAAACCTCGGGAAGCCAAACAACTTCGCTGTCGGAATTTGGATGAGATTTTGTGTACGAATGTGGGCAGGCGATGCGCATCTACGACGACATGGCTAAAAAATTACGCATATCATTAAAATAATACTTCGTCTGTGAAGACTGTACACTCAAAGAAATGAAGGTAACTTTGTCCGAATAGCCATTTACGTTTGCACTTGTATGTATCATTTTACCCAGTTTGGAACAGCAAAACGGCGTATCAGTGTAACTTGCAGGGAGTGAGCTACTATTTGGAAAATATGACAAATTTTTTTTTCAGTGTAGTATGCTGGAACCTGGTGCGTTGGGTACAAACTTATATGTATTTTGAAAGTACACTGAGATAAATGAATTGGTCATATTATCCTAATAGTGACACACTTAACTGCACGTAGCACTGCTACGCCGTTTTGCTGGATCAAGATGGGACACACAAGGGCAAAAATGTGCATCGTTATTTGGACAAATTTTCCCTGATTTCCCTGATTATACGCATGCAAACAAACTCTCTATATGATCGCACACACACTTGGTATAGAACGAAATATATTAATTCTTCTAACGTTAACATATAAAAATTCTACGAACTCCTGATAAATCTAAAATAATTAAATTTCTCCGAACTCCTGAAAAATCAAAAATAATTAGGAACTCTCCAAACTCTTGAAAAATCTAAAATAATTGAGAATTATCCGATCTATACTGAAGAACATAAATTGGAAGATCCCATGGGAACAGCAACTAATTGAATTTTAAACGCTAATTAGAATTTTGACGAGCCATATTAGGTCACGATCTCCCAGAGTTCACATGTTCAAAAATAGCCCCAAGACTTGAAAACGCACTCAGAAACATGATGGGGTTATAATGTCAAAGTAGTGACACACTATCTTACCCACATCAAAAGCAGAGTGCGAATTTGGCATTTATATGCCCTCTCGTCGGACCAAACTGCGTCAGGATGACCCATACAAGCACAAGAAGAGCATCGCTCTGTAGACAACGACCCGCTCATTTCTCCAAGTGCAAGCACAATTTTCCATAGCTACGCCTCCCCCACGCCTTTTCCCGCGCTTTTTCCCACGCCTCCCCAACGCCTTTTCTCACGCCTCCCCCACGCTTTTTCCTACGCCTT